TGATAACTTAATAATAACGTGTTAACCCGCCCAGCCCTAATATAGAGTAAACTAACATTAGTGGCATGATGGCTTGGTGGTTAGCACTGTCTCTTCACAGCAAGAAGGTTGCTGGTGCCCCGGGTCCTCCGGTTGCTCTCATTTCCCCCCACAGTCCAAAGACATGTGCTATTGGTGAATTAAATGAGCTAAAATGGCCATTGTGTATTAGTGGATGTGAGAGCATGTGGGTGTTTCCCAGTACTGGGTTGCAGCTGGAAATACATCCGCTATGTAAAACATATACCTGAATAGTTGGCGGCTCCTTCAGCTGTGGCGACCCCTGATAAATAAGGGACTAAGCTGAGGAAAAATGAATGAATGAAAACCATTTCCTGTTTGCTGTTTAATGGGTTGTTTAAAGGAATAATTTACCATTCATTCTCTCTCATTTCATTATAATGTGCAGTACATGACTGAGAGGAAGAGTGATTTATTGGTCTACATTATGAAAGTAAATACTTAATCAGCTAAAAATTGCTCACAATTGACAAAAAAGTCTCCTAATTTGGGATAATATCTCTTGCTTTGCTTGATATGTCAGAAAGCTCATTAGAAAAGGTCTTTTAAATCATCATTATTGGATCACACTGAGCTGTTTAGTTTAGTCATGTGTCATTTAGCAGATGTTTAACGCTCTTAGTACTTTTGTTGAAGAGTGACATTCCTAGAACAATCTGGTATCTTACCATAGGACCACAGAAAAAAAGGATCTCAGTAACTTTCCAGTTCACAGTTATTCTTGAAATAAACCATTGACATTTTGTAGTCAGTCAGCTGTAGCTCTTCGTTTCACAGCTTTCGATACATGAAAGTAAAGCACCAGCTTTATGCTACTCTCTACTTTCCAGTAAGTTCAGTCTAATTAATCAGCTAACAACAAGGGAATTAATGTCTATTATTACAGATAATTACAGACTCAAATCACAGCTTCTGTTTTATTACATTCACGCACCGTATCATGATCTCCATTTCTTCTTTATTAAAATATGGCATATTCCCACTGGATTTCATTATCTTTTTCATTGCTGATGGCATTGCCATGATTTTTTTTATTATTATAATTGTTACAGATGTACAATTATTTTTTAAAACCTCTTCACATTGTATTGTAATGCTGTTCATACATATCCATTATAGTTTGCGTATCTATCTATCTATCTATCTATCTATCTATCTATCTATCTATCTATCTATCTATCTATCTATCTATCTATCTATCTATCTATCTGTCTGTCTGTCTGTCTGTCTGTCTGTCTGTCTGTCTGTCTGTCTGTCTGTCTGTCCAATCCAATATGTTCTTCTATGCAAACTGCCATTTTTTATATATATTTTACATTTGTGAAATCCAAATATGAATATATTGCATGTATTTCAATATATTATAGCACATATGGTATTGTATTAAATATTTGAATATGTATGTTGGCAATAGATAGGTGTCTTGGTGGAATTAGTACGACTTGGTTGCATTATGATATTGAGTTTGCATAATAGAGAAAATACTGTGACTGAAAGTTTGTTGTTTCTTTATCTGTTTGGATTTTTCTCAATAAAAAAAATGCAAATCTTGGCTGGTATGGGTTGTGATAAAAAATTGAGTAGGAAGATCTTGAGATTGTGTGACTGTGTATGGGTCTTTGGGATTATTTACCAAAGAAAGATGAAGTGAGTAATTTTCTAAATGTCAAATATGCTTTCACTGATTGTATTAAATGGGTCGTCTTATTCTTTTAAAGGGGATAATTTGAATAAAAGACAATAAAAATTATCCTCATTTTCTCATCCTGCTCTTGTTCCAAACCTGAGTTTCTTTCTTCTGTTGAACTCAAAGGAGGTTAGGTGAGGGCATGGTCACCGCTCGCACAGTTACAGTTCTTTCAAGGCTCCCTTCTCTGCCCGACCGAAAGCGACTCCACTCCGGCATGGGGTACATGGTCATTTCTCAGTTTCATGAGACAATCTTTGTCTGGCAGGATATGTCCCATTTTCCATTCAAAGTGTGTAGGCTTTCTGCGTTGTTCACAGCCTGAGCCAACTAGTGGCCCAAGACTGTTAAGCTGCCAACAGCTGTAGCAACTGCTCCCCCTGCCCCTCCAGCCGAGATGAAGTCTGGGTTCTACAGCCCTTACTTCATCATGCCCAAAAACAGTGATGGGTCAAGACCTATCCTGGATCTGAGCATCTTAAATCAGTATCTGTTCAAAGTACCATTCAGGATGCTTACGCAGAAATACATCAACGCATGTGTCCTTCCCTTGGATTGGTTTGCAACAATAGACCTGAAGCATGTGCATTTTCATGTTTCAATACTTCCTCAACACTGGCCATTGCTAATTTTTATGTTCAAAAGTCAAGCATATCAATACAAGGTCTTCCCCTTTAGGCTCTGCCTGTCTCCACAAGTATTTATGAAGATCTTGGAGGGTGCCCTATTTGCGCTCTGGCTGGCAGGAATTAGCATTCTTAACTACCTCTGCAGTTCAGGCTAATCCTAGTTCAATCTCGAGAACAGTTGGAAATGCACAGGGATCTGGTGCTCTTTCACCTGAGCCAGTTGGGACTGCAGGTCAAGCGAGAGAAGAGCAAGCTCTCCCCCATGCAGGGCATGTCTTTTCTCGTTGTGTTGCTGGACTACTATGAGCGTGCACCTCTCCGGAGATCATGTCTCATCAGTGCTGGCCTGTCTGGAGCAATTCTTTAGGACAATGGTTGACACACTGAAACTATTTCAGAGACTCCTGAGGCATAGGCAATTCACAGCTGCTGTCACGCAGCTTCAACTCTTGCATATGTGACCACTTCAGAACTGGCTGCAGGTCGCATCCCCAGATGGGCATGGCGCATCGGCACAGCGAATGACCATCACTTCTTTGTGTCGCCAATGTTTCAGCCCGTGAACCAACCTTGTCTTCTTGCGGGCTAAAGTGCTCCTTTGGCACATGTCTAAACATGCTGTTGTTAAGACGGATTCCTCCTACATGGCATGCGCAAATGTACATTACCCCAGTGAGCCTTCTTGCATAGACTCTGCGCAAGGTCAGGGATGACTAGCACTAGGTGTTAATAGTTGTGCCCTATTGTGCCAACCAGACCTGGTTCACAGAGCTCATTCTTATCATGATGCCCCCTCCCTCGCAGATTACCCTGAGGAAAGACCTTTTTTCTCAGGGACTGGGCAAAATCTGGCACCTGTGTTCAGCCATCTGGAACCTCAAAGTGTGATCCATAGATGCAATGTGGTTTCCGCTCACTATGAGCTGGTTAATGGCTGGACAATGGACAAGCATGACCTGGCCATCCGATTTCTCAGAGGTGCTACAAGGCTTAATCTGCCTTGTGCTCCTCTCATACTCTCTCTGGATCTCTCAGTAATCCTTTCCAGACTACAGAGACATCCATTCAAACCGGTCTAGTCAGAATCTATCAAGATCCTGTGTCTTAAGACAGCTCTGCTGACCAAGTTGGCATTGTACAAGAAGGTCTGGGATCTGGAATTTTGCCTAGATTTTTGACCGACTAACTCTCACATAATCCTGATACCCAAGCTCGACTAAATGCTTAGATTCAAGATTCCTACCCCTCCTTTCAGGGACCAGGTAGTGAACCTGCTCGTGTTGCTACTGGAGGAAGCAGACCCAGCCCTCTCACTGCAGTATTCTATCTGTGGGTTCCATCTCATCCTGCTGTGTGTCCCCCAGGGGTAAGAATACACTATGCAGGAGGTTTTGCCACCTCCTGGGCATTAGCATACAGTGCCTCTATAACTGACATCTGTAGAGCTGTAGGCTGGGTGACAACTAATACGCTGGCAAGTTTCTACAATCTCTGAGTACAGCCAGTTTCTTCCCGAGTGCTGGGTTGGGAGACCCAGTCGGTTGGGAGAAATCTGAGCTCTGTGTCAAAATTGCTTGCTGCGCCACCCTCTCTAACCAGGAGCCACGTGCATGTTATAGTGCTAGCTTGAGTGCCTTGTGGCAAACCCTAGAGAGTTCATTTAAGACCCCATTTCCCTGACTCGCCGGAGGAGCCAGGTGTGGGCCCATTATGTTGATGGTATGCCCCGTTGGTCAACCTGCATTCTGAGGTATGGTGCTTTGTAACAGCAGATATTTTTATGTCTCAAAACGCAGAGCTGAAAAAGTTAAAAGCATAATTTGACCCTTTTAAACATTTATTTCAACACTTTTTTTTTTTTTTTTAGCATCCTGAATATCCTGACACATTAGTTTAATAGTGGGACTTTTGTCCCAGGAGAGATTTTGTTTGTCCAAACAGTGGTCAAAGAAAAACTTTGAACAGTCATACTTTAGTTTTTATACAGTACAAATAAGTGAGAATATTAATGAATGAAAGGCAGTCAGTGAGATGTCTTGGCTGTGAAGAAATAAGTGTTTCATTCAGGAAGAGGCTTTAAACATTTACTTATGTATCTATATTGTTATCTGGTGTTTTCCACTGCAGAATAGTTATTGTCCTTGGTTCTGATCTGAGACTTGAAGTGCTTATAATGTGTGGTCTGAAGCATCACTGTAACTTGCCACATGTTTTTTCCCTTGACAGCTGCTCTGGATTAGTCCATAAGACTATATAAAGTTTAAGCAATAACCAATGTATAGTTAAAAACATGATTAACACATCTTTGACTAGTCAAGGTGAATCCAAAGCCAAACTGAAAAGCATGCTCTATGTGAGAAAATGCATTGTTTACATACAATACACAGGATATTAAATGCATTGTGGTTCTGCTTTTATATGTGTCCTATACATTTGCTATACATTTGAAACTATGTCACGTCTGGGTTCTCAAAGGCAATGCCATTAACTAATTTACTTATCTCAGTCATCTTACAGTGTGCAGAAAGTTCTCAATTGATGGCTATTCCTGAGTGACCTTTCAGTCTAATATTCCATAGGCTTTTCTTTGGCTACATTGGTTTTTAATTGTTCCCTCCATTTAGCTCGGGCTACCACTTGCAAACAGTGAGAGATATGCGCCCTCATCCCAGCGTGTCTCTGGATCCATCAACCAACTTCAACCCTCCACAATTTCGCTCAAGAAACCAGAGCTACATGCGTGCAGTCAGTACCTTCAGTCAGGCAAGCTGTGTCAGCCAGGTGAGTCCAACCACCTGCAACAACACACAACACTTATACACAGGTACAAGAAAGACAATCAAACTACAGTAAGTGGATTCAAGTAGATGGCTTTAGCATATATCTAGATATCCTACTTGGTTTTCCCAACTGTCTTGAGCTGATTTTGAATAATAGAGTTCTTGTGGACTTTATGCTTACCTTGAGTCAAATTATCTATGATTGATTAAGAGGTTTCTTCAAAAAACAGCTTAAAGTTTGTGTGAAATCAAAGTATTTATTTATCGATACAAGTTAATTAACTGGATAAAGAAATATTTGGTTTGGTAATCCTCACTCAATTCTGTCTATTTGCTTCTGTGTTAGGAGTGGAGGTCCTTCTTTGTTGGAGTCAGTTTGACAGCTTTACAATATGTTTAACCATGCTCTTCTTACCTTTAGGGCGTACTCACACTATGTACAGTTGCCTTGAACCCGGCCGAAGAACGCTTGTCTGCCCTCTCATCTCCCCCGATGGCCCACACTCATATTGCATTCTGGCCTGAGCACGCTTACGTCATCGATGATGCTCTGTTCAGTTTAGGAAGTGCTCTCGCTCATTACAGTGGAGATTTCTTATCTAACTAAAAACTAAATACCGTTTTAGTCATTTGGGATGCACTGACACGCAGTCAAATATTTTGCCGAACAGATCAGCCAATTTTGACGCTAATAAACAATTGTAAAGTCATCGTGTTGCAGGAATTAGAAGATTTGCTGAAGGTGCATCTTTTGTGCAGTGAGGGGTTTGTGTCTTTAATAGTATATGACAGTTTGTGTTTATTAAACAGTAAGAGTGATTAATAGATCTATATGAAACAGTCCCTTAAAAGTCACTTCTCGTCCTTAGTTTCGGGTTCAGGGGCACTTTGCACTCACACCACAAACGTACCACGCCTGAGCCCAAATGAACACCTCATCCAACCGGGCCAGGGCTGGCCAACTGTACCGTTCCTGAGCCTGTTCAGAGCACTAACACTTCTCAATCAATCAAGGAAACGGGCCTGGGCATGGCTCGTACAGCATAGTGTGAGTATGCCCTTAGTTTGCTACAAGGGACTGATGCACAAAAAAGCCCTGTCCCATACTTAAAACTAAAAAAGTTAATAGTACATCAACATGCTGCAATAAAAATCTCATCAACTTCTGGTTCACACTGACTTTAGGGTGATAACTGTTTAATAGCTGATCCAAGTTTGTTAAAAGGATTTTAGGGGGTTAAACAGTTGAAATAACAGCTGCTGGGGTCTTAAACAAAAAGGTAGGTTATCTTGGTCAATCTGTGTGAAGTTTTGTGCAGTAGATCAACATGGTGAAGCTAGAGAATTAACTATGCTAATCCAAGCTTGATTTATGTGATTTAGGTTGACCAGCAAAGCTACAGTAAATGCTAATCAGGCATAGAATGGTAGGTCTGGACCAACTTGGCTAAATTAGTTGGGAAAATAAGCTGAATGACTATGTTTCAAAACCAAGCTTAATTGATATCAAACACAGTTCCTGGAGGGCCACAGCTATGCACAGTTTAGCTTTAACCCTAATTAAACATAGATGATTTTGTGGTTTGTTTGAAACCTACAACCTGTGTTGAAGCAGGGTTTGAACAAAACCCTGCAGGGTTACGGCTTTTAACTTAGTTTGTAACACCAATTAAATACCAGCTAACAAGGTTAAAGAATCCCATAACCAGACCAAACATCACTCTAGAGCAGTTTTTCGCAAACCTGTTCCTGGAGGCACGCCAGCACTACACATTTTCAAGCTCTTCCTAAACAAACACACCTGAGTAAAACATGAGAAGCGAACATAAGAAGAGACTCCAAATTCCTGGATTAATGGATCAGATAAGGGAGACATCCAACTTATGTACTGTTGGTGTGCCTTCGAGAACAGGGTTGAGGAACATTATTCTTGAGGGCCAATGTTCAGCAGAAGTAACAAACAAGATTAAAAACAACTTCATTTGGCTTATGATGTGAATTAAACTTATCTAGAACTTATCTAGAATCTAGTTCCCAATTGCCAATTAATCTTAAACATGTAATTAGATTTTTTTTTTATTTTAGTTTAAATCAACTAATTCAATTATGCTTATTATTTTTATTAACAATCAATGTGTATGCATGTATCTTGATTCAAAGGACCATTCTGAGAGTGCCACCATTTTCAAAAGTGCATAGTCAGCATTTTAAATTTAAAATTTAATTTGAAACACCTAAGATTACTTGTTAAGAGGTTTCCCTCATAATGCAATTCTACACAAAGCCTGCTGAGAACTACATGTACACTTACCAGTTAGTTACACCAACTAAATTCAGTCATGTTGCCTCAACATAAAACGATTGAGTTAAACATTGGTTTTACTTAAACCAACGTAAAACAAATACATCCACCCCATCACCCCTCCCCCCTCCCTCAAAAAAAAAAAAAAAACATTTAAACGATAAAACATAAAACGATTGAGTTAAACATTGGTTTTACTTAAACCAACGTAAAACAAATACATCCACCCCATCACCCCTCCCACCTCCCTCAAAAAAAAAAACAAAAAAAAAAACAAACATTTTAAACAGACTAAACAAATGCATTTTTGAGTGCTGTGGTGTTCATGCTGTTTCTGGAGATCTAATGTATTCTAGCAAAGTTCAGCTTCAACCCTGACCAAACAGTCTGGAGTTTTTCAGAAACAGGATTGGGCATCCTAGTGATCTTTTGGTTAACCAGTATAAAGTTTGTTGTATTTATTGTGCTCTAAGAACACAACTTGACCAACTTAACCACCTTAAACCAGAATGAGTTCCAAGCAAGATTGTAAAAGATATTCATTAGAACGAACAGTTTGTTTACAGAAGTATATTAGGCATTCAATGACTGATGTTAGATTTTCTTCTTTTCATATAAGCAATTGTTAAAGTAGGATGCCAGAAAGCTAAAGTCAAGGTCTGTTGAGCCGTGGTGCTGTGAATTTACGTGGGCTTTAGGTAGGCGGCTGTTCACAGGCTTTTTCTGATGGAGTAGGTTACAACTAAGATGTTTGATGAAGGTTTTATAGAACAATCTGACTATCAAATATGTTGAAAATGTTTTTAATTAGGGTAGATAAAGTGTTTAATCTTCTGTTGTAGTGCTAGGTTGACATCGAAGCAGTAATTTCATTGACGTTTTCATCAAAGTGCTGTTTAGATTGCTGTTGAATGTTTGTGTTATTTTCCCTCTCCACACAACATGCTTTTTTTTCATTAACCTATTATGAGATGATATTCCAGCCTGAAATGTATTTTTTTCTTATCTTGTTGCTTTCTGATATAATTCTACTGAGACTTTCAAGGTCGGAAATTGCCAGTGGTATATTCCTCCTGCTAACACTCCTTCATATTTACTGTGCAAAGGGGAAGAATCAAAGTGAGAAAGAGAAAGGAAGAGGAAAAATTAAGGACTGCTATTCCTGTTTTTGTCTCTCAGGTGAGTGAGACTGAGGTCAATGGCCAGTTTGAGTCAGTTTGCGAGTCCGTTTTTAGCGAAGTAGAATCCCAGGCCGTGGAGGCCTTGGACCTGCCTGGCTCTTTCCGCACTCGAAGCCACAGTTACCTGCGTGCAATTCAGGCTGGGTATTCCCAAGATGACGACTGCTTGCCTTCAATGACATCCTCTACTGTCACTTCAACTCTCAGATCCACAACAGGTAACCGTATGCCTCAAATCCCACCTGAGAGAAAGAGAGACAGAGAGAATGAAAGAGAGAGAGAGAGAGAGAGAGAAAGAGAGAGAGAAGGCTTAGAACACATCCGCCATACATTCAGCACATGCTGAACTACATTCTCTGGCATACCTACATATGTACAGTGGGATTCCCTTGTGCTTGAGAGATGACTGACTTGAATGTCTTTCCGTCGGCTCTTGTCTGTTGTGTGTGTTTGCTTCTCTGCGTTTGTGTTGAAAGACAATTGCCTGCTATTCCCTTTGCACGAGTCATGCGTCCTTTTCTGGGCTTCCGGAATATTTAAGTCTGATAGTATTGAGAGGCTAGATTGAGGTCACAATGATCTAATATCACACGCACATGACAACCCAATGCAACAAACGCATGCTTTAACTAGCAGTTTTACAGAGCATGCAACAGGCCGTAGGCAAGTGTTTTTACACAACACAAAGAATCAGGTTACAGTTGGGCAGGAAGGCTGGCTTTAGAGGTTTTCACAATATTACACAAAAGTATGAATTGTATATCTGTGAGTTCAGGTTAGAAACCTAAAGGCTGTTTCATTTCTGAATGCACATAGTGATGACTTGCTGGATACATAAGTGATGTAATGTGTTGCATAAAGCATCTTCGTTCTGTGAGGAGAAAGAAATTGGCAATGCTTTGAGAAGTTGGGGGTCAACTAAACACAATTGAAGTATAGAAAAACACTTCACATTGTATTTTAAAGATACAATTTTGAATTTAATGTGCTTGCATTTTTGGCTCTCAACACTTAAGAATTTTATGTGAATATATTTGGGGTGTAACGGTTCACAAAAATCACGGTTCGGTTCGATACAACACAGTGGTGTCACGGTTTGGTATGTTTTCGATACAGCAAAAAAAAAAAAAAAAGGCCAGAGGATTTCTTTTATTTAAATTTTTTAATGTATTAAAACTAAAGTCATAAAAGTATGATCTTGTTTTTTTTTCTTCTTTTACCTTAAACAGTGATAGAGCTATACTACGAGATTTCTGCTTAGCAGCAAATAAAACAAATCCTTCTTTATCCTCAAAACCAAAAAGCTTCCTATAAAAAACAAATATAATATTTTAGTAGTTAAATAAATAAAAAGAAAAGAACAATTTAATTTTTATATGGAACTCAGTTTCAATCTATTTTTAAGTATTTTCTTTTTCAGAAAGATTGTGCACCTTTTCTTCAGACAGCACAGATCTGCTTGATTTGACTGTCACCTGCCATTTCAGTTGATCTGAAAGCAGGAATTATCTGACTGAATTATCTGGCTTATGAAGGAATAATGTAACAGGGCTGTATTACATTTTACATTTTCTTAATACCCGACATGGGCGAAGCAGTGGCGCAGTAGGTAGTGCTGTTGCCTCACAACAAGAAGGTCGCTGGGTTGCCGGTTCGAGTGCTCCGGTTTCCCCCACAGTCCAAAGACATGTGGTACAGGTGAATTGGGTAGGCTAAATTGTCCGTATTGTATGAGTGTGTGTGTGTGAATGTGTGTGTGGATGTTTCCCAGAGATGGGTTGTGGCTGGAAGGGTATCCGCTGCTTAAAACCTTGCTGGATAAATTGGTGGTTCATTCCGCTGTGGCGACCCCGGATTAACAAAGGGACTAAGCTGACAAGAAAATAAATAAATGAATGAAAAACTGACATTTTCACTACTGATTAAGGTCTCTCATATCCACAACTATAAATGTGCAGATTGCCTCAGTGATTTGTTTTGTCCTCTTCGAATCTGTAGGAATTGCCTGTCTGAATGCTGTTCCTGAATGCGCAACGTATCTGAATAGTGGTGGAGGCGTGTACGTGCGATGTACCTGAGCGGCGGGGGTGAGTTGTGCCCAACGTACCTGAAGAGCTGGGAGGGATACGGTGGAAAGGGGTGTGCGACTTATTTAAACGACCTGGGAGAGATGCGCGATTTCCTGAAGATTATCATTCGTTTTGCGGGCATCCGGGAGTCTCTATGCATTTGTGGGAGACTCCTGAAACTTCTGGGAGACTTGGGATGTCTGGGATTACATTAACGTTACTAGCCATTTTGCGAGCTAGTGTAGCGTGTGACTGACTGGAGCAGTGTTTGGAGGTGGGCGGGTGTGGTGATATGTGAACAGGTTATTGAGATTGGCTGTTTTGTGTCGGGGTCCAGGGTTGCTTGGGCAATGGGGGCGAAGCCAGCACAAGCAGGCTGACACAGAAAGCAGCAAGATTGCTAATGAGTGCAAGCTTGAAGTGCAAGTGATATTACGAGTTCAAAAGCGATGGTCTACTGTTTAACATGACAGTGGGAAGGCAGCATGTTACAAAAACATTTTATTTTGTACTTCTTATCTTTTTTGATGTTAGTCTGAATCGAATCGTTCGTTTTGTAATGCGTACCGAAAAAAAAGTCTCGTACCGAACGGTTCAATACGAATACGTGTATCGTTACACCCTTTATATGTATATATAGTTCAATCATTCATTTTCCTAGCCCCTTTATTAATCAATGATTGCTACAACGGAATGAACTTCCAACTTATCCAGCATATGTTTTACACATAGCGGATACCCTTCCAGCGGCAACCCATGACTGGGAAACACAGATACACTCTTGCATTTACACAAATACACTACTGCCAATTTAGCTCATTCAATTAACCTTTAACACAAGTTTTTGGGCTGTGGAGTAAACTGGAGGAAACCCATGCCAACATGGGGAGTATATGCAAACTCCACACAGAATGAAACTGACCCAGCTGAGGCTCAAACCAGTGACCTTCTTGCTGTGAGGTGATCGTGCTACTTACTGCATCACCGTGATGCCCTACATATATATATATATATATATATATATATATATATATATATATATATATATATATATATATATATATATATATATAGTGCTTATTAAGTAAAGTTTATTTATAAACTAATTAAAAAAAGGATAAATATCTTGCTTATGATTGATTACGGCTGCATTAGCTATCATAAGATTTACTAATCAGATGAATCCTAACATACATTAATAACCAGACTTAGTCATCTTCACCTTGAACAAAGAATTTCTGGAGGACATTCAATTCCTGAAGGGTGCAGTTTTGCTCTAGCCTTATCAAACACAGCTGATCCAAACAATTGAGGAGTTCAAAAGAATCATGAACACCTTCACTAGTTGGATCAGCAGTGCTTTATCAGGGTTGGAGCAAAACCGTGCAGAGCTGCGGTTCTCCAAGAATTGAGTTTGAGACATATAGCCTTGAAGACTCCTCCCCCTCTTTCCCAGATTAATCCATGACAGGGCAGCATGGTGGCTTAGCGGTTAGCACTGTTGCCTTACAGCAAGAATGTCATTGGATCGAGTCCCGGTTGGGCCAGTTGCCGTTTCTATATGGAGGTTACATTTTCTTCCCATGTTTCTCTCAGGTACTCCGGTTTCCTTCCACAATCCATAGACATGCAGTATAAAGGAATTGAATAAACCAAATTGGAACAGTATATAAGTGTTTTAGTACTAGGTAATCCTTGCCTAAACATGCTGGTATAGTTGGGGGGTTATTCCGCCATGGCATCCCCTAGTAATCAAGGAATAGGTTGTGCCAATTCGGGGGAGATCTTGAGACCTACCTGAGCTCAGACTCCCCTCTCTCCCGATGAAAAATGGAGGGAGCCCCGGCTCAAGTACCTTCTGATGTCAGGGATCTTTCCCAGGCTAGCATGTCAAACACACTTTATAATCAATCATCAGCTAGGTGTGAAGATCACATTTTATGTATGCTAAACCAACTTCAAAAAATGGACAGGTCATTTTGTTTTATGAAAAACATTGATCATAAAAAAATGTTTTATGGAGATGAAAAGTACTTAAATGGTAAAAATAAATGTGAGAAACAGTTCTGTTTTAGTGGACTTGTTCATTAACTAACTGAATTATCCATAGCACTATTATTGAATGATTTCCCTGTAAACTCAAAAACTAGAGGTGAAAACAAATCCTATTATCCTCATCCAGTTTTACCAATAATACCAGCTATTGAGTTGAAGACATCCTGGCAGATATGGAGATATTTTTTGCAACACATACTCGTCAGAAAGTGTTTCTTTAAACAGAAAGAACGACCGCCTCACACTCTGCCCCAACACCCCTGCTGTGCTTGGTGTACACTTGGAGTAAAGCTATGAACCCTATTGAAATGCCACAAATTGATGTCAAATATTGCAACACTAAAAATACCTTTCTTTTTTCTCACTTATTGTATTTTTATTTCATTTTATTTTATGTAAAATGCTAATTTGTTTTGTATGATTTAGTTTGGTCAATCCAGGCAAACTTTGTTTTTTATTTACTGTGGGCTTCTTTGTGTTTGCTATTGAACCTGAAGTTTGATTTGATTGGACCTTCATACTGTCAAAAACTCATACTGACGACACAACGAAGACTATGAGGAGAAAGGAGAGCTCTCCAATCCCACCGTCTCACTCCGCTGAAGTGCTTTCACCACATATGGCTCTGTATGCAATCCCTGTCGACTGGCTGTAGGACAAAAGCATTTTCTCAAAAGGATTTTATTCATTCTGGAGGATTTTTTTCTTTTAGCAGTTCTGTATTTGGTTTTACAAAGAGATGCCATACTTTGTGTACATGCTAGAAGCTAATTAGATGTTTTTTTTTCCCTTAACAATAAAAAATAATAATAATTGTTTAAGCCCTGGTATTGATGCTCTCGATTCAAAAGCACTGACTTTGAGAGAAATATTAACAAGCATACCCCAAAGATTCACTCAGTAAGTGAAGCTAAATTTAGTTGCGGCTTAAATCATATAGAAATATCGAGTAAGGTGTTGGGTGTTCTGTGATTGACCATCACATGACGGAGATTCAGGGGAAAAGAGCAGCTGGAGGGATGCCTGTTACAGGTATTATAATGTCAACACGCATACATCTTTGAATGGATATGTGTGTTTTTGCACTGCCTTCTCAAACTAAATTAGGACTAGTCCTTTGAAAGAATGATACATAACTAAAGGTCAGAATAGTGGAAACCAGTGTTTAGTTGCCAAAGCAACCATGCTTTATTTTATTTTATTTTATTTTATTTTATTTTATTTTATTTTATTTTATTTTATTTTATTTTATTTTATTTTATTTTATTTTATTACATTTAGTTTGCAATGGAAATCTATGAGACAAGAGTATAAAAGTACAAATACGAAGATGATATTTGCTGGGCTCCATTTTACAAACTACATTTTAACAGTATCTTGCCACATAGACATTCATTGTAAGTGTATAACTATACTGTTTTATTAATTTTATTTATTTTTTTAATTTTTTAAGAACCCGAGAGTTGCGTTAAATTGAGTCTTGGAAAAGGCCATTTTTATTTATTTTCCTTCCATTTGTGTTGCAGTGGGTTGGAGTTTCCTTAGAATGTTTAAAATGTTGCAAAAACTACTTTATTACATCATTTCTACCAATCATGGCATTTCTGGAGGACAAACATGGCCAGCAAAATGCAGTTGGAAGTAAGAGCTGGTGTGGAAGATTTCAGCCGTGATGGACAGTGGGATTGCAGCCTCTGCCTGGTGCAGCCCTCACAAAGACCTGACGATTTTAATGGATTGTGTTTCTTCTTAATCCTACCCGTTTCAACTCCACATGGTCCAATCAGCTCAATTGATGGGCTTTTAACATATTCAATAGGGTTCATATCTCCTTGCCTGTATGATTGCTTGACATTTTATTACCTTTTCATCTTTTCTGTTGCACAAAAAGCAAGAAATCGCTAAAATTCAAAGTTCAAAAAAGCAGCCACAGCATTTGCTATGATGCTCTGTGATCTGATAAATGGATAAAAGGTATTTAATAGCATTGGTTTCTATTGGTTATGCTGTGAAGAGATGGAAAGGCTGAATAGATGAGATGTTCTTTTATGTGAGTGAGAAGGCAGTGTAAACACACACATCTAAAAACTAAATATATGGGAGTAAAACAGTGAAAGACCCTGCCAACACAACATGGTCAACTGCAACAAAAGTTACAATCAATGAATTAAAAAAAAAATAAGATATTTATTAAACCAGGGGTGTTCCTAGCCTTTCATTATTGCTGTAGCACAGCCACATCTATCCATCAAAAAGTGCTCATATTTTGATAGTATATCTGCATGCTCTAAGATTCACTTCACATTTGCAGGTTTTCCTTTCTAGAATGAATTCTAGCTAAACATCTACACAATATTATGGCAATTGACAGACATTTTGCAGTTTGGTATTTGGTGATTAAATTGTATGAATTTGTACCTCTAGGAACAAGGGCCAAATCTGTTCTTGGAGGCCCACTGTCCTGCAGTGTTTAATTTCAGCCTAAATTAACACATTTGAACCTTCTAGCCAAGGTCATCAATCTCACTTGCTGTGTCTCAGTTCAGAGGCTGCATCCTTTCAAGGATGTGGACTTTAAAGAGTGTTTCTTTTAAAGTCTTGGCAATTGACAATAACATTTGTTGTAGACTTTTTTTTTTTAATTGTCTGAAAACAAACATGGTTCAGAACTTATCAAAGTAGGTATCCTTCATTTACTTTAAAGTAAAGGATGTATTTCAAGACTGCATTTGGAATTTGAAATAACTTTATTGTCCCCGAAGGGTAATTAGGTTTCCAGCAATAGCCAACAGTTAACAGGAACAGGTCACACTCCAACAACATAAAAGTAACAGTAAACAGTAAAATTAATCACAATCAAGTAAAAAAAAAAAAAAAAAAACGTCAAGCTTGTTAAGTAACCCAACTGGAGTTGAAACTAATAAATGCAAATATCTGTTGGACCTTACCTGTCTGAAATAAGTATACCATTTGCAGTTTTGTATTATAAGCATTTGAAGGAACACTTGAATTAGGACATCCTTTGTTGGGCTGTTCAAATGTGTGCTTTTAAAGATTGAACCAGACATCGATACTAGACCAAGTGGTGGCAAGTTCCTGGTCCTGGAGAGCAGTAGCCTTTCACATTTTGATTCTGTTCTGATAACTCAACTGCCAGTGTCTTCGAACAGTACCTTTCAGTCAAGCCAGAAATCATTCATACCCCCTGGGGTATGAATAAATTTGGGCTTGACTGTATATCACCCTCCCATGGGCACTTTGAAGTGGAAACAATCATGATCTCTATATTGTTGTTTCAAATTGAGGTGCTCTAAAACTTTGAAGGGATGAAGTATTTTGTAAGGTACAACTGATGGACACAATAGGCCCTCATGATCCTTAAGTGGTGCACAGTGTGCTTCATTCAGAAGGATATGCTATAATCCCTTTGAAGCTGTAAAGCCTACGAGCATAGGGATGAACCCTTCTAAATGGAGCATACTGCTAGTGACCCTTAGGTTTGATTAAGTTGTTTGGGTCTTTTTGAGATGGGTTGAAGCTAAACTCTTGCTTTTCAGGACCAAACTTGCTCTGCCATGTACTAGACATCTCTAGACAATTGTGTTTGAGATAAACTTTGCAGGAAACTGGACCTCCAAGAACAGGTTATGACACTCTTGCTAGAGTTATTAATTCATAATTAATAAATCTAATGTTGTTGGTTTATATTTTAAACTGATGATAATGATAACATTTGACTTTATTTCTGAAATAGTAGTTTAGAACATCATTCTCAGGTTGATGTGCATCAGGGATGGGAGAGATCTGTTCCATTGTCCTGCAGAGTTCTGCTCCAACCTTATAGTAACCCCTAAGACATTGATTTGCTGTTTCAAACTCAGGATTGTGGCCCTCCATAACCGAGGTTTCCCATGCTTGAGATATGTCAATCCCATAGGTGATTAAAGTTTCATTAGCGATACTCTACTGGGCATCAGCTCATACCCCAGTGAAAAAGGTCTAGGAAAACCCCTGCACTAGTTGGAAGTGTATTTACTTGCTTCATGTAAAAGTCAAATCAAAAAGTTTTGTTAATATGCAATCTAGAATCAACAGCAGAGCAGACCCCCTACTTCGATGAATTTCAAATCTACTTGCTCTTCATTTAAGTTGATTCACAGTTAACAGTTAACAGTTGAATTTACTCCTAGATACTAGTGTAGTAGGAGCTGCTCCTGGTGATTTGCTGTCCTGAAATTTTATTTCCAACCTGCATTAACATACCTTTAAACATTTATCAGGTGATCCTGATTGCCTTAATTAGATCCTTTAGGTGTGTTTGATGATGGTTGCAACTAAATTCTGAAGCATCTTTTATCTCCAGGAGCAGGATTGAGAATGCAGTTTAAAATTGTTTACAGGGTCTTTCTTCACATACTCATGATACACAGATACACACATTGAGACACCAAGCAAGTGTTGACATTAGATCAAGTGAGAGGCTTTGCCGAATTACACAGCTGTTCATTCCTTTGAATCTCCCTATTTAAATTTGTGTTCCAGAGGGGTATGATGCAATGGAGGGAACCTCATTGCTAAATGAGGATATGATTGAGGATGATGATGGCGCCAGCTCCTCAGCTTATCAGGAAATCGAGCGGTTCGAAAGAGAAAATGCGGCACGAAGTCAACACAGCACCAGCTCCACGGTCACAGCTATCTCTGTTCCTCCTACCTCCACACATCCATACCGTGGAGCCCCATGTCCGCCTCCATCCCAGCCCCCACCAGATCCTCCTGTCCCGCAGGCTATTCAGGCTTTTAAAGAGTCTGCAAACATGGTGGCCGCCTTTAACATGCAGTGGAAAGAGGAAATATCAGCGATGCGATATGAGCTTGCGGAGCTGCGCAGGGATGTTTGCGGGGAACTCAAAACTTTCAACAGCAACTTCTTTAATTTCACTCAGTGCTATAACATGTGGACGATGTGCCGGGAGGCTGCCACTGGCACCAGTTCCTCTCAGTTGAGTGAACGGGTGTCTGTTGGGGTCCAAACCGGAGCGAATGGTCTGGTAAGACAGAACACTGCAGATGCTTCCGTAATGTGTCAGCCTGAACCGGCTGCCTTCAACATTTTTGACCTGATGGAGCCTCCACGCATTGAGATCACTGAAGGAACACCCGAAGGAACCTCTGCTACTAACAGTCCAACTAGCCCAGTTAGTCCTGACAGACCCACCACCGGTCGACCGCTTCCCAAACCGCTGGGAAGATCCAAACTTGACACCGGTAAAAAAAAAAACTGCAGTCGAGCGGACGGTCAAAGAAGTGCCAGCCTTGAACTCTGGTGCAGAAAATACACTAGTGGACCAATGTCCTACTTATCTTTATCATTCTAATCAGTCTCATTACTGCAAAAGGCATTGACTTCTTTTCTGAATCAACCCTATACACCTTGGGGAAACCCTGCACCTGGAGAAGAGCTTGCCCCTCTTCTCCTAGCAAAGATCCTGACAGGAGAAGGTGCCGTTTTGGCACAACAAGGATAGTGTAGCTATTCCAGATGGAACCATCTGTTGTGCCGGATCATCAAATCTGTTTACATCACCACAGAAATGATTCATGAATGTCATTTGCATTTTATGGAATGTCACAATTTGTCTGACTGTCACTGTCCATGTTTTGTCCATAGCTAAAGCAGTTCTTTCCCAATGGTGGGTCATCTCATCACTTAAACTGACCAAAAGAGGATATGAATATACAGTCAAGCTCAAAATTATTTATAGCCCAGGGGTATTAATAATTCTGGGCTTGCCTGTAGTTGACGTTTGCACAAGGTATTTTTGGCTTCTACAAATCAAGCTATGTACAAATCTTCAAATTTATCCTTCATTTGTTTGTCTTCTTTTAGCTTTTTTGCAGTCTTGGTTGAAAATATGGGTCACATTTTATTTTGATGGTCCGTTTGTTGAATTTAAGTTACATTGGAACTGATTTTCATTAGATTATAAGTAGACTGTTAGGTTGGCGTTATCAAAATCAACAGATATTAAGCAGACAGTCTACTAATACACAAATAAACCATCAAAATAAAGTGTTACCAAAATATGGAATGTCATTAGCAGCAGAACTTTAGTGACAAATAAAGTCAAGAGTTAAGTAAAGCTATGACCTCAACTTGTAGGCCAACTCACATAGCTAATTTGCCATGGGTTTCCTCTGTACTTTTGAATGGATTTTTAGTTTTATTTCATTAGCATGATAAACACTAAGTTCTGTTATGAAATTCTAATGGCTTAGAGGTTGATCGGTGCTATCCAATGTCTCATACCACATGGCGCAGGTGATTGGTTGTTGTTGCCTCAGTGGCCAATGAGCTTGCTCTTCAGCATTTAAAATACCTTAGTGCTGTTTACATTTGGAATCAGCAGCATATTTTTGGATCCCTCCCCCACCCCTGCTTCACCTATATATAGATACCAAGACCAAATACATAAACATGTATACACATTGTTAACTAAACTAAATCTCTCAGAGTTGTCATGATAGAACTGTATTTAACATTAGCAATTTTGTTATATAGCATGAATTGCACACAGTCATTGCAACAAGGTTCAAAAACTATGGCGGAGACAGGAAAACAGTGAATGTTTAAACATTTTATTAAAGCAATTAAATAAAACAAGAGGTCAGTGGCAGCTCCTCATGGACTACTACTGCCTAACTAAAACCAAAACCTTGTTCTCTATCCTCTTCCTCTGCTATAACTACTTCTACTGGTAAACACCTTTGAACTTCACCTTTTGAAATCTTCTTTTGTGATAATTACATAATAGATAGGTTTGTTTCTGAGGCTCCACCTTCGTTGACAGATAACTTTTCAGTTCAGTTATTTCTGTTCAGTCTGTAATACATAAAAAAGCTAATATGACACAGTTTTTTCATGTTTCAAACAATAAAGCTGCTTGATTTTTTGTAATCTACTGTATAAATCAGCCAATGCTCATTAGAAAGTGTGCGCCTCAACCTACAGTTTGCGAAAGGTAAAATATGTTGCTCCATCTATGTTTTGTTGCACGTTTCAAATGACAAATCCACTAGAGGGTGTTGTCTACATTTTTGTGAATTTGCTATACTTTACTTCAGGTGTATGTTGTACATTTCAAATGCTCATCCTTATTGTTTACGCCCACAAGATGGTGGAGCTTGTCGCAAAGATCCCCTAACTTTCTGAAAAATGTCGACACTTTTCCAGGTTTTAGGAACAACAAATATTATCTTGACTTTTAGTTGAACATTTGGTATCTGAAGTGGCTTATATGAAAAGCAAATGCCTCTAGATTACACTTATTTCACCAAAATAAAATATGATCATGCCTTGGTTTTTAATTATTTAATTAAGCCAGTAAAGTTTGGCTTTGCGTAGACAAAAATTTTGTCTCTTAACAGAAATAACAGGGAATTCAGTGAGCCTGTATTGGTATAAAGTGCCTCAATAGCAGTAAATGTTTGCCACCAGGTTAAAGTCCATGTAAAAATATGCTATGCTAATGCATATAGTTGTTCTTTAAGTGTAACCCTCTAAAAAAATGCTTCTTTTGTTAATCCTCAATCAAAGTCTGACCATTTGCTTCTGCATTTAGGTGGCAGTAATTTGATGGAAGTATTTTTTTCACCATACCTGGTTGTTGCTAGATCTGATATGTTTGCGGCCGGAAGTTAACATGAATTACTTCTATTATTTATTAAATTTCCCTTTTATTGTATTTTATTAATGTCTACCCCCACCCCATCCCTAAACCCAACCTTCATAGCACTGTAAAAACAGTAGTTGTTCCAAGCATTATTTATGCTGTCTATTAAATTACCCAATGAATTGTATTTTTTTAACACCTACTCCCACACCAACCCTAAACTCAACGCTCACAGCACTGTAAAAATATGATTTTTTTTAATACAGTGTTATAAAAAAAATGCTGCTATATAAATGTGCATATTGCACTTCCGGTCAGCCACATATCCGATCTAGACCAGTGGTGTAGTCCTTAAAAAAATGGTGGTGTACTATTAAACCCGACCCAAATTTTAAATGAAAGTAGGCAAAGAAACAATGAAGTTCAATGTTTCTTTGATTTATTAGCTATCTATACCTTATTGATGTATGTACCCAGCAGACTCTGAGCTTATTTAATCATTGTAATATTGAAAAAAGAGTCAATCAAGATAGTTACAACAGTTTGCATCGCTGCCTACTTCTGGTTTACGCTGACTTTAATTGCACCTTATATAAAGTGGGGCCAAGGGATGAGTAGAATCTCATTGTATAATCTTACAGTATGTAGAAACCTTTTAAAGTTTTCGTTTTACGTTTGAAAATGTACCTTTCAGCAATGACTGTGTGTAATTTATGTTATAAAAAGTCATATCTGAACTCATTTGACATCAAATTCCTCTATTCAGAAAAACTTTTCAAGGAAACCCATTTTATCAGACTACAAATTGAACAGCTGTCACGCAATGCTTTGGCTTTTCCTGCCAAATGAAAATGAAGGCCCTTTGCACAGCAATCACATTGAACAACAAAAAAGTGGAAGATTAGGGTTATCAGAATGGCATTCGGCTCATTTTAAAACTACTTTCTGCCCTTGGTTTCTAGGGGAGAGCTTTGAAGTAAGGAACTTTGCTAAATTAAATAGATATTTTCACTCCCTTACCATGTTTGCTGTAACTCTACATTTGCAGTGTGTGTTTCTTAGCCAGTATACAATATATAGAAAAAGTATGGGACTGTTTACAAGTAGTGCTGAGTGGTGTCTTCTTTTGAAAATACTTTATTTGAGGATGGAAAGATATGCAATATACATTTCTGAAACAATACAAAAGATGGGCATCCTGGCAATTTCAGACTTTTAAACCATAATTCAACAAATATAATAGTAGCTGTGCAAAATATCAGCCGTAAATCATTGCCAACGGTAAGAATTTGTACACTAGTGTAAACTTTTGTTGTGCCTTGCATTTGTATCATGTTGGCAAAAATGATGTCACTTTTGTAATCATGATGTCAGAATATGGGCTTAGAGACAAAAACGTCCTTCCAAGCATCAAAAAAGTAGTAGTGTCATACATTTTACCATGATTTACAGAAGCCAATGAACAAAATGTCATTCAGTGATACAGTATTTTAACATATTTAGAATAAAAAACTTAATTTGAGTACTTATTAAAAGACTTTAAAGTCTGAATGAACGCTAATTTTACCATGTTTTTGCTAGTACATATTGATATATGAATACATTCAAGTGCAAGATTCAAGTTTGTTTTGGTCATTTAAATATGCTTCTGCTCCAGAATGGCAGTTATTTTCTGTTTTCACGCTCATTCTGATTACGTACCCCTGTATACATTTCTGGAGAGCAGCAAATACATCCCAGGAGCTATGTGTTTTTGTAGTTGATGTTTTCTCTTGTTGGAATCATGCTAACAACATGCTAATTCATACTAGAATCATGCTGACAACAGGCTAATACATGTTAGAATCATGCCAACAACATGCTAATTCAAGTTAGATTCATGTTAATAAAGCATGGCATGGCAGAATCATGGTAACAACAAGTTAACTAATAATCGAATCATGCTAGTAACATGCTAATTCATGGCAGAATCATGTTAAAAACACATTAGCTCATAATAGAGACATATTAGCAACATGCTAATTCATGGCAGAATCATGCTAACAACATGTTAACTTATGAACGAAACATTGTAGCAACATGCTAATTCATGGGAAAAACCTGTAACAACATGCTAATTCATAGTATAATGCTAAAAACACGTTAACCCATGATAGAAACATGCTGGCGACATGCTAATTCATGGCAGAATCATGCTAACATGTTAATTCATAGCAGAATCATGCTAACAACATGTTAATTCATGGTAAATTGTGCTATTTTTGTGCTAACCTAAACCAGAATTATGTTAGTTACTGATAATTCATGCTAGATCCATGCTAACAACACACCAACACATGTAAGAATCACACTAACAACATGCTAATTTGTACTGGAGTCATGTTAACAACATGCTAATTCATTGTAAATCATGCTAGTAATGTGCTAATTCATACTAAAATCATGCTAGTTATGTGATAATTCATGCTAGATTCATGTTAACAACATGCTAACACATGTAAAAATCATGCTAACAACATGCTAATTCATGTTGGATTTATGCTAATAACATGTTAATTCATGTTGGAAGCATGTTAGCAACATGCTAACTTATGATAGAAATATGCTTGCAACATGCTAATTCATGGTAAATTGTGCTAGTTACGTGCTAATTTATAGTAGAATTATGTTAGTTACATGATAATCCATGGTAGATCCATGCTAACAAAATGCTAACACATGTAAGAATTACGCTAACAATATAATAATTTATGCTAGATTCATGTTAACAACATGCTAACAGATGTAAAAATCATTTTAACAACATGCTAATTCATGTTGAATTTATGCTAATAACATGTTAATTCATGTTGCAATCAAGCTAGCAACACACTAACTAATGATAGAAACATGGTAGCAACGCGCTAATTCTTGTTAGATTCATGCTAACAAAATGCTAATTCATCGCAGAATCAGGTTAATCAACACATTAACTCATAAAAGAATAATAATAATGAAATACTAAATCATGGCAGAATCATGCTAATAACATGCGAATTAATGGCAGAATCATACTAACAAAATGTTAGCTCATGATAAAAACATGCTCACTACATGCTAATTAATGGCAGAATCATACTAACAACTTGCTGATTTATGGCAGAATCATGCTAACAAAATGCTAATTCTTAATAAAATTATGATTACCACATTCTAATTCATAGCAGAATCATGGTAACAACACGTAACTCATGAAATAAACATGACGACACGTTAACTGATGATAGAAAAATGCTAGCAGCATGCTAATTTATGGCAGAATCATGTTAACAACATGCTAATTCATGTTGGATTCATGCTAGCAACATGCTAATTCCTACAAGAGTCACAATAACGACATGCTTATTCATGTTGGAATCATGGTAACAACAAGCTAACTCATGATAAAAACATGCTAGCAACATGCTAATTCATGTTAGATTCATAATAACAAAATGTTAATTCATGGCAGAATCATGGTAACCACGTTAATGTATAAGAGAAACATGATAGCAACATGGTAATTCATGGCAGAATCATGTTAACAACACGCTAATTCAACTAAAATGATGCTAACAATATGTTAACTCACAGCAGAATCATGATAACAGATTGACTCATGATAGAAAAATGTTTGCAACGTGCTAATTTATGGCAGAATCGTGCTAACATCATGCTAATGCATACTAATATCATGCTAACAACTTGCTAATTTATATTGGATTTATGCTATTAGCATGTTAGTTACATGAAAATTCATTCTAGTTCAATGCTAACAACATGCTAACACATGTTTGAAATATGTTAACAGCGTGTTAATTCATGTTGGAATCATGCTTACAACATGCTAATTCATGCTAAACTCATGCTAACAACAAGTTAACTCATGATAGAAACATGCTAGCAACATTCTATTTCATGTTAGATTCATGCTAACAAAATGCTAATTTATTTCAGAATCATGGTAACAAAACCTTAACTCATAATAGAATCATGCTAATAACATGCTATATCATGGCATAATCA